TACTTGCCCAAGTCCATAGTACTCTGAAACCCCAACGTCGAGCATATGGAAGCTTCCAGCTCTTACTCAACATTAGAAGAAAAGAAAACTTTTGTTTTGTTCAAGCTAAGCTTGTGACCCGAAAATCGACTAAACTGATCCAATATAGCACCCACAAGTTGGGTCTGATGGGTAGAGGCTTCGCAAAGGAGGATCAAGTCATCGGGGAAGAAACGATGGGTAATGGGAGGCCTCTACGAGAAAGGATCATAGGTTCCCATAAACCCATATTTAAAGTATACTCGATGTTGTACCCAAAACGGTCCATACAGAAAACAAAGAGATACGGCAATAGAGGACAACCCTGACTAATACCCCTAGTCGATTTAAAGTCATCTAACAAAGATCTATTCCAAAGGACTTGGAATGAAGACAAGGAAATAAGATCCATAATAACTCGTCTGATGCGAGGCGAACATCCCATATCAACTAAAGACTCGGAGATGAAGTCTTGTCTAATCTAGTCATAAGCTTTTTCGAGATCGACTTTAATTGCCATCTATTTAGTCTTTCCTTTCTTCTTTCGCATGGAATGAATAGTCTCTTGAGCAACTATGGTAGTACCTGTGATGCTTCGACCAACAACAAAACTCACTTGATTCAGTGCAATGATCTTTGGGAAAAGGACTCGGAATCTATTTGCAATAATCTTCATAATAAGTTTATAAAACACCGTACAGAGACTAATTGGATGAAACTCTGTAAATGATTTCGGATTGCTGACTTTCGGTATAAGAACAAGCAAGGTTCTATGGAGAGCTGTTTCAAAAGGCTCGTCTTTGTGGACACCCTTAACCCAATCACAAATGGAAGCACCCATTGGCTCTGAAAAATAGGGCATGAAGACCATCGACCCCTGGTCTGTTTTATTTATTATTTTGAACCAAAGAAAAAATAGTTAATCTAGTAACCGATTCAAAATCAAAAAGTACTTTTCAAGTCATTTATAATTATTTTTGTCAAACTTAATTTTATGGTTTGTAACAATTATAATGATAGATACATTTACTTAACAAGTATATAGTCATACATGTTTATAAATACTATATTTGAGTTGTTTTAGTGATAAATAAGAGTATCATTCTCTTTAGAGATATCAGGTTCAAATAACTGTATATATAGGATGTGTGTGCGCTTACAATGACATAAATTACATTGCCCCAGATTAATAAAAAATAATTTCAAATAAAAAACTATATTTTATAAAAAAAATTAATTATGGTAAGAATAAAATTACAAACTTTCCTTATAAAAGTTGTAATTTTTGCAAATAACAAAAGAGTAACCTGGGCCGACATGTTGGTTCTATATATCTTTTGGGCTCAAAATGAGTAGTCTATTTAATTTAAGCGTAAACTATATATTTAATACTTAAACTACCAGTTTTGATATGTTTTAATATTTAATTTTTTTTCTTTTCAAAATCATACTTAAAGTTTAATTTTTGTTTCATTTTAGTACCCGCCATTAAAAATTTAATGGAATGTGACATTTTTTATAGGTAAATTACATCATTCATCTCTTAACTATCTTTTCACTCCTATTTTGGTCATTAAAATTTAAAAAATTCAATTTAAGTACTCAACTTTCAAATTAGACATGTTTTAATCACTCTAATTTATTTTATTAATAATATTTTGTGACATGATATTTTTATTGTTTTATTAATATATAATTAAAATAAAAAATTTAAATTTAAAATTTAGAGTGATTAAATTAGGAGTAATTTAAAATTTAAGTAATTAAATTTTAAAAAATATTAAACTTCATTAATCAAAATAGGAGTGAGAAGATAGTTGAGTGATGAATGATGTAATTTACCCCCAAAAAAGGGTCAAGTTGTAACAGCTCCGCTGAGTTTTTAACAGTCGGATACTAAAATGAAACAAAAACTAAACGTTAGATATGATTTTAAAAAATTTGAAAATTTAAGCATTAAAATGACCAAAACTAATAGTTCGGGTACTAAATATATAATTTATACTTAATTCAATTTATCTTTTTTATAAATGTATTCAAGAACCCTAAGAAAGCAATAATCAGCTACAAAACCAACCAGACTAATAAAATCACAGTCCAACTATGTCCACTGATTATAAAGAATACCCAATTTTATATAGACTTTTATTAACATTCTCTAATCTAGTAATGTTTATGTACAAGAGTCTATTTCTCGCAATGTCTTTAATAGAACCCACAATATGATTTTAAAAATACAATTAATCAAACAAATTTTTTGGATGACAGAATCGAACTTAAGTAAGATTGATTATTAGATTCGATTATGCTAATTTTTCTTAGTATATGCAGCTGCTGGGGTATATACAAATCCAGCAACCTGGTATGGATGCTAATTAGTGTCGCAGTTTTTAACCTTTGTTATTATTAATTAACTTTTTTTACACAATAAACTTTAGGTCAGGGGTGGTTCCCAGTCCAACTATATCTAAGATTCAATTGAGATTTATATAAGAATTTATAAATTATCCACCAAGAGTGACGGTCGTAAGATTCAAGCCTAGCATCAGAAACTCAAATTCTTAAATTCCAACCACTTATACCAACTGTGTTAGCATTATTAATTAACTTCATTGAAACCTGCAAACATAGTTTCACAGTTTAATTAGTTCTGTCGGCAACCGTGTTCCAAGCTTATGGAAGAGGTTGTCGAAACATAATTTTTAGTTTTAAAATGCATCAAAAACAAGCTGGTTCCAGGTGGGTTTCCAAATACCGAGGCCCTGGCTTTTGTTGCACAGTGTTGCGAAAACCAGATCTCATATCTATGAGCGCCAACTTGTTCAAAGAGTCTTGGAATGCACTACAACCTTGTACCAAAAACCAAAAAGGAACCAACATTTTCAAGCTAAAGCTTTCCTTTATTGGTATTGGGGAAACCCTAATCTCACACCAAGCAGAAAACCTCCCCCAATTGAACCAGTTTAATAAGCACCTGCACGGCTCTGGCTTGTTATTTGGACATCTGTTTTTGCTTTTGTGAAACACAACTGCAGGTACATTGTCTTGAGCAATGGATTTTTAAGACAAACTAGTTTGAAACCTAATTAAAACCACATATTATATGGGCATTCTTTTAGTAACAAGGAAAGATTGTCGGAATAGATTTAGATATGCTACAAATCCTTCAAGTTCATTTGAGTTTTTAAAACCATTTGCCTCCACTTGGTTGGAACATTCTCCAACTTGTGCCCAGTGTCAATATTCCTTTACTTTCTTCTTTCTTTGTCTACTTAATTATTGGTTTTTGGATATCAGTATATCTCAATCTAAACATTTAAAAATAGTTATCTTAACTTCTAATTAACTTAAAGCGAAAGTCATGATCGAAACGGATATTACATGAATTAAAAACATCTCAATTCGAATTTAAAACTTTTAGATACGATATTTTAAACGATATTTTAATCAATCAAATATAGGTATCTCGAATATCATATAATAGTTCCCTATCAAGTGAAAAAACCAAGATTATCGTGTTACATTTGATTACAAAGTAGTATCGGTTTTAAATACTCTCAACCATTTGACAATGAACGCTCAATCACCTGTTGCAGTCGTTGGTGCACGAATTCGTGACCCCTAAAATCAACAACAATTCTTTTAACTACTAAAGTAAGTTGGTTCGTGCATGCATCATTGATTATATATACATATATATTGTCGTTTGAAATGTGGGTCGTATTTGATGAATAAACATGATCAAATGTATGTGTCGATAAGAGTTAAGTTGGAAGAGTGAACTGAAATTGTACATAAGCCAAACAAAGCAAGCCACGTAGATCATCTTGAAGTGAAATCTTGGAAACCCAATCTCTACCACAAATGGCGGATTCCCCATCTTATCTCTTCTGTTCGTTATATAAATACTTATTCCCTCTGTGAGAAAAAAGAAGCATTTAATGGACAGAATAGGTCCACGGTGTGAATCTGTAAATCTCTAGTTAGCATTAGCTAGACGACGATAGTATAAATGTAGACAAATTCCAGTGATCGGAGAAACAATGATGTTTTTATACTCTTCTTTTGATTTATTTTTTGTTTTGTTTTGGCTTGCAAGGAGTAGAGCATGGGACTGTAAATGATGAAATCCGAGCTTTAGATTTACTTCATGTTACCTTAATTTGATTCCAATCTTCAATATTAAATTATATATTACTTGAAATTTGATTTTAAAATCATTTATTTAACTAATTAATAAATAATAGAATATTATTTTACTAAAATAAACAGAAACAATAAGAATATATATATATATTTATGTTTAGCATTAGAGAAAATTTTAGTTCTTCAATGTTATTCTTAAACAGTTCAAAAATTATCAGTACAGTATATAAAATTTATATTTTTAAGTCATAATTGATAATTAATACCGTCAGTTAACTAATAATCGATTTTTATGAAAATAACATCATTTTTAGAAAAATAAAATTTTTAAACGACTTTGATTATGTTTTACGTATATAAAATATTACGAGATTATCAACCCCTACGAAACTCTATATCTCAAGCTTATAAAAAAAATGAGATTCTAATTTTAATGTTTACATCATTTTTTTTATATGGAAATTTTATATATATATATATATATATTAGTTGGTTAGTGAAAAATCAATGATGAAACCACATGGTTTTGACAAATTGCAAATAGAAAATGAGAAGGAAATAAGGATTTAGACTTTGGAGGCATAGGAGTGTGGGGGAGGGGACCCTATAAAAGGACAGAAATCAAAGGCAGAGAAGCAAAGGAGTGTGGATAAAACGTGGGTTTCATCAGCCAATCAACTCTTTTATACCAAACTCAGATTTCCCCCAATCCAAAGACTTTTATATCATAGGCTAATCACTCGATTTCCCCACTTTTTATCCTTTTTTTTACCCAAACTCAGAGCTTAAATTGACCCGACCCGTCAACTCTGATTTTCTGGCTATAGTTTCATACCCGTTAAGCCTTTTCATTCGTTTTCTGGGAGACAAAGTACCCCATTTAAGCTCACGCTCTGCTTCTCCCTTTTATTTGGGTTTTCGAGTCGTGAGCTTTCGGTTTTCTTTATCAAAACCATGGCGGTTTCTTCGACTCTTTGCGGTGCTAAATGGGAGCGTTTGTTGGTCAATGCTTGTTCGTCGCCCGGGGCATCTTCTTTGCGGGCGTGCTCTCTTTCTCAGCAGCAAATGAAGGCTTTTTCCAAGCCTAATAGTGGAAAGAAAGGTTTGGCGCAGAGGATTGGTGGAGTTAGATGTGAAGTTGCTCAATCTGAAGCCATTAGCGAAGGCGAAAGAATCGATCCCTCCAAGGCTTCTGCGCTCTCCGCTCTTGAACAGCTCAAGACTTCCGCAGCTGACAGTACGTTTACCTTTAATTTCTGCTAAGTTTCCCCTTTTCAATCGCGTGTTTTGGCTGAATTTTGTGTTATTCAGTTTTAGATCTCATTGTGAATTGCGATTTGATGAATTGTTGCTTAATGTGATGCTGAAAAGTTTCATCTTTTTGGAGCAGACATGTTTGACCAGTTCACAATCTTTAGATATTTAGAGCATCAGTTAACTGGGAATGGTAATTCAGTTTTAAAAAACCACGAAATAACTATGATTGCAAAAGAATTATAGCTTTATTTCTACCTACTGCACATGCATTCACTTGCCTGTTGCTTTTGTTGGTTGATGGGAAAAACAAAATCAAACTTCGAGTTATGCCTTGAAATATAGAACTTATTCTGTGCTTTTGTGTACCCTGCCATTGTATCAATAAAACCATCATCAATATCCTTTCAGTGAAGTTTTTGTTTTGAATAAGAGGGCTGAAAGCTATGTTACTAGGACGGTGTGTATGGTCAAAGATGGGTACATGTCTGACACATATGTTTTAACTTTTTCCCCCAAAATTTTCATGTATTTAGAGGGTGATCATATCCCTATCCCATGTCTTAGTGTGTGCCGGACACAAGTTCTTCAAGAAAAATGAAGACATGGAGCAACATAGAAGGAAAATGTTTCCATGACCATACTATTAATACTGATAGTTGCTTGCATGGGCTTCCCTCTTTTGTCAACTCCCTTAAATCGGCATACAATGCCTTTAATGTCCAGAAACTTCTAGATATTAAGAACAAACATTTAGATATGGAGTTATTTTATCTTCAATTAAATTCACAGTATTTGAGGCGTTTTTTTCAGGTATTTCAATCGTGTATTACATAATCCTTTTTGCAGAATATATGTGTTAATTTTCCTCACAATCTTCTATGGGTCCATGTCAGGATATACAAAGGAAAGGAGCAGCATTGTGGTCATAGGGCTTAGTATTCACACTGCACCTGTGGAGATGCGTGAGAAACTTGCCATTCCAGAAGCAGAATGGCCACGAGCCATTGGAGAATTATGTGGTTTGAATCATATTGAAGAGGCTGCTGTTCTTAGCACCTGCAACAGGATGGAAATATATGTTGTGGCCCTATCGCAGCATCGTGGTGTCAAGGAAGTAACTGAATGGATGTCAAAGGTATTTTTTTGATGGAAAATATATAATATTATTTGGACTCGATAGTTTGTGATATTTACCTCTATGGAAACTTTAAATTTAGTAGCAGTTTAAGTAACTGCAATTTGGTTGCAGACTAGTGGTATCCCAGTTTCAGAGATTTGTGAACACCGGTTTTTGTTGTACAACAAAGATGCTACACAGCACATCTTTGAAGTATCTGCTGGTCTTGATTCTCTTGTTCTTGGAGAAGGTCAAATTCTTGCACAAGTTAAACAAGTTGTTAAAGTTGGGCAAGGTGTTGTTGGCTTCGGAAGGAATGTTAGTGGGCTGTTCAAACATGCAATTACTGTTGGGAAACGGGTTAGAACAGAGACTAACATTGCTGCTGGGGCTGTTTCTGTTAGCTCTGCTGCTGTTGAATTGGCTTTGATGAAGCTGCCTGAGTCTTCACATGCTGCTGCTCGAATGTTAGTTATTGGAGCAGGAAAGATGGGAAAGCTTGTGATCAAGCACTTGGTGGCAAAAGGTTGCACCAAGATGGTTGTTGTTAATAGAAGTGAGGAGAAAGTCTCAGCAATCCGTGAGGAGATGAAAGGTGTTGAGATTATTTACAGACCCCTTACAGACATGCTCGCTTGTTCAGCGGAAGCTGATGTGATCTTTACTAGTACTGCATCAGAAACTCCGTTGTTTTTGAAAGAACATGTCAAGGACCTCCCCCTTGTCAGCTCTGAAGTTGGTGGTTCAAGGCTCTTCGTTGATATCTCCGTTCCACGAAATGTGGGATCATGTGTCTCAGATGTTGGAGGCGCACGACTGTACAATGTCGATGACCTGAAGGAGGTTGTAGCTGCTAATAAAGAGGACCGACTACGAAAAGCAATGGAAGCTCAGGCCATTATTGCTGAGGAATCAAAACAGTTTGACGCATGGAGGGATTCACTTGAAACCGTTCCAACCATCAAGAAGTTGAGAGCCTATGCGGAGAGAATTCGAGCTGCAGAGTTAGAGAAATGCTTATCAAAGATGGGGGAAGATATCCCAAAGAAGTCAAGGAAGGCAGTGGATGATCTCAGCCGTGGAATTGTGAACAAACTTCTCCATGGTCCAATGCAGCACCTGAGATGTGATGGCAGTGACAGTCGAACTCTAAGTGAGACCCTTGAGAACATGTATGCACTTAACAGAATGTTCGGCCTCGAGACAGATATATCTCTTCTAGAACAGAAAATTCGAGCCAAGGTGGAACAAAGCAAAAAGTAGGTGTCGATGTAGAATATCCAACTTCCTAATGGTCAAATAAGAGGGTTACTTCCTCAGGGTGTTATGAGTTTTCATCTGCTGTAGTTGTCGATTCAAAGTTCTTGTGGGGTATATTTCAATTCATTAATTTGTGTAATTTAGACTCTTTTGTGTTTGAATCTCATTTGATCTTCACACTCAGACGACATGCTTGTTGGTGGTCTTTTGGCTGTGGTGTGCACAGTGTGAAGTGAGCTTGATCCGTGTCACATTCATCTGTAGAATGTATGATATCTATTTGAACAATATCAAGCATTGTAACTAATCGCCACTTATTTTAATATAGAGCTGGAATTTCGGCAAATGTATTTATTCAGATTTTTCTTAAGTGAACTTCACTGTTGATATGACCCAAAAAAGGGAAATGCAAATGGTAGGTACAATTTAGTTTGTGAATGATTTAGTTTAGCGAATAGTAGTGAAATGTTAAATAGCCATCAATGGAATCACTCTAAAACGCCTTATTTGGGCTTAGTAAAGACTGAGAAGAAGGTTCATATTAATCCGTGACCAAGCTGAGCTGCAAGTTGTTGCACCAGAGGACAAATGAACATTGTGTGGAGGGCTGGATGCAAACAGGTACCTCCATGGCAGATAATTCCGTGACCACTGAATTCCTTCAAAAATCAGATGGAAGAAGACACAACATAAACAAGGGTGCCCCCACCCCCCGGCGGATGTCTAATGGCTCATATATTGTTATAGCCCTTTGGAGTCACAGTGACAACAGTAGGATTCCAAAAGGAATCCCTGACCCCCAAACACATTAAGGTCCATGAAAAACCACATGCTTCATCAAATATGAGATTATGTCTAAACACTCCCCAGCTATTGTTTTTCACCAATAATGCTGACAGAGACTTCACAATAGGACCATTTATTTTTGTCATTTGGCATCAAATGATATTATCACCGAACACAAACCATCTATGGCTTGGAATCCAAGGACAACCGATTGAGAAAAGTGAGAAGACGTGCAGGACTTCTGCAACCACCGGTTGCCCTTGACTGCCATTATAAAACCTCCAATATTTCTGGGTCCATTATGTTTTTTATTCGTTTTTCAAATAAGATAAGAATAGTATTCTGTCATTAGTTGGCTAATAACACTAATTGCGCTGCTAAAAAGACTTGCAAGCTAAGGCAAAATTGTGATGGTTTTGCCATTCTTGGTTGAAATTGCATGGACACCATTGATCATGCTCAAATAGTATGATGTATACTCCTTTCATACAGGCCATTTTAATTTGATAATTAGATGGTGGTTAATATGACCGACTCTACATTGGATTAGGATTGTATTATTTCACGGTTGGTTTTAGCCTTGCCCTGTTAAATCATTGAGGTTAGGAGTTTTGGGATTTCCTGCAAGAGTCTTTTATAAATTTGGAGAAAAACATGAAAATCCTTTTGGGTCCCTACTCCTTCCTCATTTCTGAAAAGGGTTTGAAAGAGCTGGTTCCCTTTGAAAAACACTAACCTAAGGAGCTCTCCTTTCAAAGCTAAGAACCCTAAACACTAGTGTCCCTTCAACGAGTGTTTTTCCCCCATCCATGGAAAACTAAAGAAGAAAAAGAAAAGCCATTTTTCCCGTAGTTCTAAAATTGTACTTTCCCATTAAAACACGTGAAGGGGAAAAAGAAACCAATGCACTTTATAACAATAACAAGTAACACCCGTGTTCCAAAAGCAAAGGCAAACGTGGAGCTTCCCTTCCTCAGGAGCTGCCCACATGACTAGGTGTTAAGCGAAGGAAAGCCTCGAGTAAATAGAACCTACATTATCACATCTACATCTATCCCTCATCATCCTAAATCCATCGTGGCTTCATTTATATAAAATATAGTTTTGAGGATTAACACAATGTCTCTCTCTCTCTCTTTACGGATGATTCATTTCCAAGCTGTGTTGTGTAAATGTATAGTTATCACATGGCATTTGAAATCTCCGGATGAGAAGAAGAACAAGGGATTAAAATCTCAATTGTGCTAACATTTACAACTTTGTAAGTTGATAATGATGAATCAACAAAAATCCCTACATTTCTCCATCAATCAAATGCTTGGATTTTAGTTTTATAGTTCATGGCAGAACGCCCCGCAACGTCTGCTACCACCGCCCCTTTCATAATATAACTAGAATACTCCGATATAATTTTAAGGGGAAAAAAACTAAAATCTAGCATTTTCGAAGCCGTGTAGATCGCTGACTCTAGTCAACGACTTCTTCATGATCGCAACTTTAGCCAACTTCTCAGCCGCTCTCCATGCAGATGACGGGGTAAGTGGCTCGCCGTTTTCATCCATTGCCACAGGCAACGTCTCCCTTTCTCTTTCATTTACCCTTCGCCGTTGGATTTCCAGAATCTGCTGTTTCCTCCAGTGCAATTCCGCCAACTCAGCTTCCAAACACCTGACATATTCCTCAGCCGACAATGAATTCGACTGCATCAACAAGGCTCGAGCCGATCCCAACAAATGGTAAGCGCTCCTTAAGTCGTTACTGCACTCGATCAGCCTTCTCGCTTCGGCTACGGCTCGAGTCGTGATGAAGAAGAATCGTAACTGTTCGATTTTGGTAGCCGATGATCGAACGTCATTGGGCCGAGGTACGAGAAGCGCTTGATCTCTGCCGTATACGACTTCTTGTGTGCCGGGATCCTTGTATAGACAGCGAACGCACATCACATGACTGGATCCAACCGCCGAAGTCGGAACTTTCAGTTCCACGAGTAATTCCCTTTCTTCCTCGGCGTATAAATCGCCGAGAAGCACGGAGCTGGAAGTTAAAACAGTAGGTTTTCCACTACATGAATAAACGGCTGTTATTTCAGCTGGTGCTGAGCCGGATGCGAAGCTGAGCTGGATTCTCAAATCTTGGACCACAACGCTCAGTAACCCACCAACGCATTTAGCAAACGCATCCTCAGCTGGGTCGTGACTATACCCGCCGCTTTGCCCGAACCCGAACGCGTGAACTGGAATTTCAATGTGAGCGAAACGGGTGGACGATGCGTGGCTTGAATGATGGCGTTGACTGGAAGCATTGGATTGGAGTCTTTCATCCTGACCGTCGGATAACAGCATAATGCTAGCAACTGGATTTCTCTCCCTCCGATCCTCGAGCACTTTGGTTGCTTTTCTCAACGCATCGCCAAAGCTAGTCCCTTGACCGCAGGCGAGACGGTCAATAATACGTCGAGCAGCCTTTTGACCCTGAGCCGTCATTCTCCGCAGAGGCAATAACCGTTTGGGAGTAGCCGAGAAAGCCACGATTGAAAGCCTATCACCCGAGCCGAGCGAGGAAATGACTAAACGCATGGCGCGTTTCAACATCTGGAGTTTAGCACCAGTCATGCTTCCACTCACATCAAGAACTGTAACCAAATCGATAGGCGCACGATGCGAAGGGTCCAAATGCAACGTCGAACCGCTACTATTCCTCGAAGAAGCTAACATTTTTGCAGGGAGAGGTGGGGCCTTGATTTTTAAAGTCACCGCGTAAGTTTCGTATCCACGACCCACCGAAATGGCCGCCACTTCGGGAGACAATCTTGCCTGGACATTCCTCAAATCACGACCGCTGAATGGGAGTAGGTCATCAGATTTGACGGTGGAGGAAGAGTTGGGATTAACGAAGAACCCCTGGAACTCCTCGACTTCGTCATATTCTTCTTGTTCGATGTTTTCATCAGCTTCTGGAATTGGAATAAAACGAGCACCGGCGGTTGGGGAAAGCAATGGCTCATCGTCATCGTACGATCTTAAATCAGATGTTCTGGCTTTAAGTTTGGGTTTAGGTTCCGGCAGGTGAACAATTCTGGGTGAACAAGATTCCGTGATCTTTATATCTTCAATTCTAGGAGTGGTGTTTTCAATCAGAACGGTGTCATCTTGAGAAGTTGAGTTTCTGTGAATGGAGAGAAGAGGAACATCTTTCCAGGTGGTATTACAAACAGGACAGATGAGGGAATCATGTTTACGAACATGAGCAGCTATGCATGGGAAATGAAAGGCATGTGCACATTCAGCTGTGTAAATGGCCGTTCCTTGACCCGTCTTCACGCTGTTCAAACATATTCCACAACTACTCTGCAAAATTAAAATAAAAAATATTAAATCTTTGGTTTATCATACGCCAGTAAACATTCAATATTTAGCTACATTTGTACAGTTAAATTTAGGTATTTTGATATCACTTACTCTGAATTTGAAGCTGTTACGGAAAAATGAAAGCTTGAGAGGGGAACGAGGAGAGGAAGGATTCGAGGAGAGAATTGGTTTAGGACTTTTTGTGGCTGCTCTAGGGGTGGATTTGCATTGGAGGGTGGGGCTTTCGCTCGTGGAAGACGTTTCAACGGTAGTCCGGCAACGGAGACTGGGGCTAGAAACTGGTTGAGATTGAAAGCGAGGAGTCGAAGGGTTACTTCCGGTAGAAAAAAAGCTCAGCTTGGCACAATTTCTGGGACTAGGAGTGGGACAGGGACTCTGTTTCTGTTGCTTGTCTAAAACACTGTTTTCTGCTTCTCTAGGGACTGTAGTGCAAAAGGCTCTTCTCCAACCAGTGCCCATTTTTCAGTGCACTCCAAAAGGAGAAAAAAAGTATACGACTTTAAGCTTAGAAGAAAGACACTGCTTTTTGTTTTCCTTTGCTATCTGGTTTCTCGCTGCACTTTTATCTTAATCTAACTCCACCTTTGTTTATCGTCTTTCCATTAGATGCAGAGAAAGAAGATGAAAAAATGGCTTTGTTCTGATCGATCTGAGGTAGCGACAGAGGGCAAAAGGGTAGGACTCAAAGCTTACGAACAGCAGGGGATCAAATGCGACAAAGTATTGGGATTTATATCCTTTTCTTCCTATTTCCTATTTCTGCACTCCAAAAGGATCTGTGCTACAAAAGAGAAGGCTTGAGATCTACTGCTCCTCCCTACAAAAGAGGTCTGAACTGGATAGTTCTCAGATGCATGGTTTTAGTAGGAACCTAGGAGGACAGCAGTAGCATGTTAAGAGTGGATAAATTCTGAGTGGTAAAATGTAAAGGAGGATGATGTCAAACGCCAACAGCAGCATCAAATCTCGAAACATTTATGACGGTATCAAAATAGATAGTGAAACACATTTATTGCAACTGAAAAAGGAATCAGAAAAACCATGGAACATGCTGGGGTTGTCAGAGGTTCCGAAAATTTTATCTATTGGAGGTGGTGGTTTTAGTTTTAGGTATTGCATTTAATTTAAGATAATTTTAATTGATATCGTCATCGTGTATGTACGAAGCATG